ATTCCCCCCTCCCCCCCCATCCCCAAAAGTTTCTCAGTGGATTTGGGCTGTACTCAGCAAGCGCAGTACCACCCCCAACTCAGATTTGAAAAAAACTCAGTGGATGGCTGTTCTGACTGGTCGGCAGACTGCCGATCGGTCGGCCCTGAAACGGATTCCACCTTTGCAGTAGCCGATGCAGATCCCAGGGCTCGATCCCTAGTCCTTAACCTACCTGTGTACAGTATCTGTGTCGACCCCAGGAGTTGAACCCACGACCTGTGTCTTCCCCCACAGTTGGTAAGTTGTCGTAGGTCTGTAGGTTATAGGGGTCCGATCTGTAGACCTGTCGGATAGGAGTCTTAGTGAGTTCTAGAAGTCATAGCTGTAGCTCCTCCGAAGGGTCAAGGTCGTAGCTGCTACAGTCATGAAGGGTCAAGGTCGTAGCTGCTACAGTACCGAAAGGCCAAGTCCACGGTCTTCCGGAAGGTCCGGAAGTGGCCTTTCGGGAATTGCCCACAGTAGACCGAGGCAAGTGGGCAAGTGGCGAAGTCCACCGGTGCTGAGTCAGCGGTACCCAGTCCCAGTTAGTCTCAGTCCAGTCAAGCAAGTACCGTGTGGGACTGTGTTCACCAGGGGCATGGGAAAGGGGCAGACCAACGAGCTACAGAAGTATAAATCAAGCGGGAGCGCCCAGCCATTCATTCATTCCTGCGTAAGCCATGCGGAAGCGCTGTCGCAGCGACTTGTGCGAGGTGGTCTGCAGTGAGCCCGAAGACGAAGTGGGCGAGAAGGAGAGCTTAGCCATAGCGATAGGGGTAGTAGTGGCCATAGCCGCCATAGCTGATAGAGGAGTGTAGCGTGTGTGTGTGCGTGTGTGTACAGTGTGACGCGTGTGGGATATCCAGGGTGATCCTATGTGTGTGAACAGCAGAGTTGGGTTGGCGACGAACAGAGAGTTGTACAGGCGCTGTTGCGCCATAGCCGTTTGAAGTGAGCTTGTATCTGAACTGCGTTCTTGGTTACCATATCACTGAGTTCTGAGTGGGCCGCCAGTTTGCCGCGCTACCTGTTTACATGCATGTGAGTTGTGAAAGAAAGCGAGTCTGATTGCAGCCCTACTGGTCGGCTGTGAAACAGTCGGTGGTTGGGGTCGGCGGTCGGCAGCTATGCGACCCTGTGTGTGGCAGCAATTCAGGTCGGGAAAAAGAGACGTGGATGTGCTGATGGTTTAAGGAGGGTGGGGGGGAAGAAAGAATGATGCCTGGTATCATGGTGAACAAGCTTTTTTTGTTTTTTTTTGGTACTTAATCATCTCGGCTGGCTGGTCTCTCCTGCTGTTGTGTGTGTACGCCTTTTGTACAGAATGTCCTTCCACCCAGCGGTGCTACAGCGTCCGTGGAGATCTACATAGACTCCATAAGTCTGGAATGCCGATCAGCAACGGCCGATCAGAATGTAGCGCCGTTGCCGGTGCATTTGTCGTGTGTGGACGCAGGAGTGAATCACACACTTCCTGGGTTGGCATTGAAACCGGGTGAACAACACTCCTTTGTGATGAGGCCATCAATGCCTGTGAACGATGCAATGGCGGCGGCAGCGGGGATGTCAGGTGCCTCAGGGGGTGGAATCGACTCCCGACGACCTACTGTAGCTGCCGCAGGCGGAGGGCGAGCGCTAGCGAGTGTAGTCGGGGCCGGAGGAGGAGGGGCAGGAGGATCGGCAGCAGGGCATTACCGGAGAGAGAGCAAAGATTTAGCAGGGCTCACCGCTGATACCCTCAGATTGCAGGCCGCGGCACAAGGAATGGATCAAGGAGGACCTCCAACACAAGGGGGAGGCCCTTGGCCAGGGCAATGGCCACCTACTGCTGCCCAGTCACAAAGCCAGGCAAAGTACTCCGTCATAGTATCCTGCCGATGCAGCCATACAGGTAGTGAGAATGGCTTCTCATTCCTCTTGTCCATCCCTAAAAGAACACACACACACACACACACACACACACACACACACACACACACACACACACACACGGGGATGTGGGTAGCTGCCGCTCAGCCACAATCAACATGGGCAGCCTTGTACGTAAGAGGCACAGTAAGAGGGGAGCCACAAAAGACTGCTTTGATTCTGAATCTATTCACCTGGGTGGAATTGGGGCTGTTGTGGGGAAAATCTAAAACACACACACACACACACACACACACACACACACACACACACACACACA